TCAATTTTGCTGAATCTCGCTGTCTTGCTGCTGTCCTAGGGCCCCAGGCTTCAGGACAGCTCCTCTTGTGAGGGCACCCAGGAGCATAGCTGGAAATGACCCCATCTTTGCATGTAGGCTCCGTGCCATGACTGGATTGAGTCTGGCACCTGTGCCTTACTTTTTTCTTATTAAAGATTTTGTTAAATTTTGAAATCTGTCTCCATACATAAGTATATGAAATGTACACACATTTAGTTTAAATAATAAATCTAGGCGTATTCAAGTAAAGAAATAGAACATTCCCAGTATCTCAGAAGACCTCTGATTGCCCTTTCCCCATCCAGAGACAACCATCATCTTGACATTTTTGGTTAACCATTCCCTTTTCTTTATAGTTTTACCATCTATGTCAGTTACCTCTTGCTGTATAGCAAACCACCCCAAAACTTAGTGGCTTAAACCATCAGTGATTTGTTATTTCTCATAATTTTGTGGGCTGACTGGGCAATTGTTTTGCTCCTCCAAGTGTCGGTTAGGTCGTTCATATGATAGCATTCAGCTGGTGACTGGGCTCTGAGCTCCGTCCCAAAGGCACGGTGCTGCTAGCTGGGGCATCTCAGTTTTTCACGTGGCCTCTCTACATTGGTGTCCCCTCCATAGCCTCTTCATGCGTTTCTGTCTCAAACAGGGGAGGCTGGACTTCCCTACAGCGGGGCAGCTGGATTCCAAGGGAGCCAAAGCACAGTCTTCCAGGCTTCTTTAGGTCTAGGTCCGGAACCGATGCAGTCACCGCATCCTGTTGGTCAGAGTTGTCACTGGGCCCATCCAGCTTCGATTGGGAAGGAGAGAGGCTCCATCTCTCAACAGAGTGGTAGGCGCTAGCAGGGAGAGGAGGAGTAGCTGACAGCCAGCCTCAGAGACCATGTCCTACACCGTCACTGTCCGTTTTGCTTAGTTGTGTCCCTCAAATACCTCATGTTGTCATTCTCTACAAACCCCTTGTGAGGCAGGCCAGGGCTGTGTCCAGCCAGGCTGTTGGTCATCAGGAGAGAATCCCAGCCCTGATATCTGAGGTCAAGGATAAAAACTGAGCACCTGAAGGTGGCATGGGGAAGGTGCTGACTGCAGCAAGGACTTGGTGTTAGAAGGTCAGGTGTCTTTCACTGGGGTCAAGCATGGGCTGTTTGGGGGCTTCATTTTCTGCATCTAAAATGAGGACTCTAGGCTTGATGGACTCTGTGGTCTTGTTCTGTTGTTTTCTGTGTTTCTAAGTTTTTAGGGTCTTTGTTAGAAGTAGCTTTAACTAGCGCCCACATTTATTGCCTCTCAGGCAGAATGAGGTAGAGGTGAAGGATTCCCCATGCTCATGCTTGAGTGAAGGGCATTACCTTCCATGGGTGGCCTGTGGCAGCAGCTGCCTGACAGGACAGCGCTATCCCCATCATTGAGGGGTGCGGTACACCTGGTGATGACAGCAAGCTGGCTCTTGACCATGTGGATAAGGTCTCCTCGGACCACATGCCCCTTAGCGCAAGCACCCAGGATGGGCCGCTTTCTCCTCTCTTCCTGTACACCTCTCAAAGCTTGGCCATCCTGGTGGGTTCCTGTCACTGGGGATAAAGAGGAAACAGGTCACAGCTGAGGTGAGAGCTGGAAAACAGTCTGGGGGACGCTGAGCTCCACCGGCGGCTGGGGCTGTGGGGCGGGGGTGGTTCAGCTGTAAAGTCCACAGTGATGCATTCTGTGAGTGACACCATTTAGCACTTGGTGCGGGGCTGCTCTCACACTCCCTGTGGGGCTGGTCACAGACTGCTTGGGAGCAGCTGTTTAAGCTGCTGCTTATCTGTTTGTTGGAGCAGGACTTCTTTTCTTCCTTCCTTTTAGTTCCTCTCCTCTCCCTCCCTTACTTTCCACATCTTCGCTTCTTCCTCCCTCCCTTTTATCCTCTTTCTTGTTTTCTCTATTTTCTTCTTTGATCTTATTAGAACAGATGCCCTTTTAAATGTAGTTCTCTGTTGGAACAGCCTCAGAGGGGTAACAGAAGCCTCTGGTTTTCTCCTCCCCACAACCACATTTGGGAGGAACCCACTTCTGGGCAGGCATCCTGCATCGGAAGAGCGTGGTTAGCATGGGGTAGAAAACATTACTCATGGGCACACAGCCGCTTTCTGGTGCGTCAGGCACAGGGGTGGCGCGGAGACGGAGGCTAGAGGTACTGGGCCACCATCCACCCTGTCCCAGGGGCCATTACTGGTCTTCCAAACCCTGAGGTCTCTGAAAATGAGGGCTTCCCCCTCCCCTTTCCCAGTGTGTCCAGCCCAAGGAGAGCCGTATGGCTGGGCTTTGCTGCCATTTTCCTGGAAGGTCCAGGATATGTAGCAACACATCACAGCCTTGGGTCCCAGACAAGGCCCATCAGTCACCAACCCCATCCACCTGTGGGCTAGGAGTCTTTTCTCATGTTTATCTTCTGGGCAAGTCAGATTGTTTTCCTGCTGGAGGGTTCTGCTCTCAGTGGGCTCCAGCCAAGGGGTCCTGGGAACAACTCTGCAGATGCTCCCCCTAGTTGTTTTAGAGCCTGGGAGACACTCCCTCCCAGCTCAGTTTCCAGGTCAGCTCCTGGTGAAGGCGAGAAAGCCAGGCCCATGCCAGAAAGGAAGGGTTTGGGCCTCACTTGCAAGTTCCAAACAGGCTTATTCTGAAGCTGCCCCAAGAGAAGGTTTTGCCCTTTATGGGCCCTGATGTTCCCTCCCTTTCTGCACATGGGAGATAGTTCACTTGGGGCCCATGAGGATGTAGAGGATGACTGGGGATTGAGGCCCAGGGCTTGCCCACCCACACACACACACACCTGTATGCCCACGTGCCTTTTCCACAGCAGAGTGAAGACAGCTCTAGGGTTGATTTGGCCCAGGCCTATCCTTGCCTACTGCCTTTGGTCCTTTTTGTCGCACCCTCTTCAGGTCCCGGGCCCAGGTGCCCCAGCATGGACTGGACATTGGTTCTTTCTCCATGTCCCATGCTCAGGAACAGCGCAGCCAAGATTCTTCCTTGCATTCCTCAGGTTACAATGGGGAACTTACTTTTTCCAGGGACTGCAGACCTTGGAGAAAGATGCCTTAGTGAGGTGTCCTGTGTTAGCAGCAGCCTTTGCTCTAGGTGACAGACAGAGGGGCCAGCTGTGTCTGGTACCTCACCTCTTGCTCCAGGGCTGGCCTCTGGCTCTCCCCTGCGTACACTTGAGAGCTCTAGCCACAGGCATTTATGAATACAACTGTCAGAGCCGAGAAGCAGTGCCTCTGGGAGCCTGTCTGTGGATGTGTGGAGGGAGGGAAAGGGTGTTTTTGAGTTTCTGGCAGCAGCAACTCCAAACTCACAGCCCAGATGCTGACATGTTGTGGCTCCTGGCCTGCTGCCACTGCCATGTTCCCCCTTACTGGTTGGGTGACTTTCTCAGCACAGCAGATACATAACCCCCCTTTTGAAAAGTTTCCAGACTCCTTGGGGTGGATGGACTTGGCATCCTTCACAGCTGACCTGTGCTGGCGTGAGGGGCATGGCATTCATGGCCGCTCATCACAGCCAGACAGCCATACATGGTCACTGCAGCCCCAGAGTTGCAGCACAGTGACTCATCCCCAGGAGGCTGATGGAACAGGAGAGCAGCCATAGCCAGGGAGGCACTGCTGAAACCTGGGGTTCAGAGCCCCAAGGGTCCCTCTCACCTGCCTGGAACCAGCCTGGGGCAGCTCTGTGCAGACCCAGGCCTCAGAGGACAAGTCCAAATTCAGTTCCAGAAGAGCTGGCGGAGAACCCACTGCTGCTTCTCAGATTCTGGGCCAGGCCTTGCCCTGTTGGATCTGTGTAATGTGGTCTCAGACAGTGGGTATTGATTTTTATTTTGAAACATTCTGAAACTGGTGCTTTCTAGAAGGAAGGGCCTGCTTCTTTTCCCTAGAAAACTGTGGATCTTGAGAATGCCTCTGGAGTGGTGTTGGGGCAGGCAGGGAGAGCTATTTTAGATGCTTATTTAGTCATGGCTCGTGCAGCTCATGATTATTCGGCATCAGGCCATAGAATTTTTCTGAGGATTTTCACTTGAGGCAGTTGTGGGATTTCCAGGCATTAAGTGAGGTCCTGGACAGAGAAGCTGCAGCCAGGCCAGCAGCTCTTGAAATCAGGATCAGAGTTCATTGTTTCTCCTGGGACAGCCACCAGGACAGAGGTTTCTGGAGGCAGAGGACTCCCCAACTTTATGTAGTTCCCTGAGCCGGTGAATCAGAAAGAGAGATCCCCACCCCTGAGGGCGGGGCTTCGCTGGACGAGGGACCTTGCACAGAGCCTGTGGGTGTGGCGGGGGAGGGGCCGAGTTCCAAAATGCCAGGTGATGAAACATCTGCCTTGTCTTCACCTGTCCATGACAGAATGAGAAAAACAAGAACAAAACAGAAAGGTTTTTGTAAAGCCAGATGTGTCCAATTAATCTGTCTTTTAATCTGTCATGCATTCTTTTTGTAAAAAAATGTTAAAGTGACCCCATCTTTTTTGAAAGGATGACAGTAATCCGTGTTTTATGTTTGTCTGTTTGCTTTTGTGACTTTTATATGTCATTTCCTGGCAAGATACAAAGATAGCTGTTTTGTGTTGGTTACTTGATGGTTTTGGTTTGGGGAACTTTTGCTGGCCAGTAGACCCAGGAATCTAGGAGCTACTGGTCAGGCTTGACTTACAGCAGGTGTCTAGAGTTATCTGCCTTTTTGTGGCAGAAATGTGTCTCATTTGGTTTGTTTTTGGCAGCCGGGTGGTATGGGGATCCGAACCCTCAACCTTGGTGTTATCAACACCACACCGTAACCAATTGAGCTAACGGGACAGCCCTTGCTTATTTTTATGCCCTTGCACTTATCTTAATCTTCCCTGTCCCATTGCATTTCTCACCTGGGAGTTTGGGGTTGGCTGTCAAGGCTGGCTGACACCTGTTCTCTGTGCTCATATGGAGGCCCTCGGGCTTTCCACAGCCATGGATTTCCCTCAGCACAGCCAGCACGTCTTGGAGCAGCTGAACCAGCAGAGGCAGCTGGGGCTTCTGTGTGACTGCACCTTTGTGGTTGACGGTGTCGACTTTAAGGCCCATAAGGCGGTGCTGGCGGCCTGCAGTGAGTACCTCAAGATGCTCTTTGTGGACCAGAAGGACGTGGTGCACCTGGACATCAGTAACGCGGCAGGTACCCCTTTGGAGTCATGGCTGACCTCTGTCATGCAAACTGTGGGGTGTGCCAGGCCTCCTACACAAGCCCCAGGCCATGCATGGCATGTGGGTACCAAGGTCTACCACTTTTGGGGGCCTGTTTTGACTGGGAGTGAGGTGACAAGGGGAGAGCTGGTAGGAAGGACTCCTGATAAGCTCTAGGCCCAGAAAGCATAAGACAGGACTCGTTAGGAGAGACAGAGTGGGCCAGCTGTGTGCCCCTTGGCCCCTTTCCATGGCCAAGTCAGTGCTAAATCCCCTATTCCAGTGCTAATCAGGAACGTGGGGAGTGATAATGGAGATGGCCAGGGCGGGGGCTGGAGTAGTATCAGGGAGGCCTTGAGATTGAGGAAAGAACTGGTCCTGAATTTGGGCTCCCAACTCCAGTGTTACTGGTCAGGCAAGGTGTTGTTCTCCCATTTTATAGATATGGAAACTGAGACCCAAAGAGGTCAGGTGGCTGGCCTGGAGGTCAGGTAGAGAGTTGGTAGCAGAGCCCTATGAAAGCCAGTGCTGATACAGTTGGGTTGGAGTGTCCTCCGCTGTTAAGTGCAGTGGCCGGGTAGAATATGTACAGGGCTGGCGTTCACATCCCCTGTCCTCTGTGGGTGATCATCTTCTCAGAGGCTGTTGGTTGGGCTGAGAATCCCCAGGTTACCCACCTCTCCCCTAGCACAGGAGATAGGGAGATGGAGCCTTGCCACTTGGCTGGCCTTAACTCTCTGGATCCTGCTGCTGGGTGGAGTGGTGGGGTGGGCTGCTGGTGCCAGGCCCTGAGGTGGGTCTGTGATGGCTGTCCTGTCCTTGGCAGGCCTGGGGCAGGTGCTGGAGTTTATGTACACAGCCAAGTTGAGCCTGAGCCCTGAGAACGTGGACGATGTGCTGGCCGTGGCCAGCTTCCTCCAGATGCAGGACATCATCACGGCCTGCCATGCCCTTAAATCACTCACTGAGCTATCTGCCAGCCCTGGGGAAAATGCGGAGGCCTCAGCCATGGAAGGTAAGATTATTGGCAGGCTGTTCCTGAGCAGGTGACAGAGACCCCGGCTTTTGATGTGGGCTCTGCCTCTGATTGTCTGGGTCACCTCTCTGGGTCTCAGTTTCCTCATCTGGCCCTGTCTCTGTTGTGGGATGCTGGTGAGGGTTGGCTGCAGTGAAGTGTGAGAAAGGTCCTCCTGCCTGTCCCTTTCCCACCTTTCACAGCAGAGGCTCAGGAGCTGTGCTTGGTTTGGTGCTTGTGCACATGCGCAGGGGCCTGCCACTCCCCTCGCCTCCTCAGAAGCCCTTGTGGGCCAGATTCCTTGTTGCACACTTGCAAAGGACCGTGTTCCTCTTCTTTCACTGACCTCTGAGCAGCCTCTTCATTGCACATGTGAGGTCTATCTCCCTGATCAATCTTTGTGCCCCACAGAAGCAGGAATGTCACTCTTGTGTTCCCAGTGCCCTGCAGACAGGCTGGCCTGGAGTAGGTGCCCTGTGAATAATTTGTTGAACAAACAAACCAACAAACCACTACTTAGTTATATCCCCAGGGAGGATCTGGAAGAGCTAGCAAGTTCTGGGCCACCTCACCACTCCAATTGGTGGGCACTTGATGGGAAATGGCAGGTGTGTCCTGTTTCATCTCTAGGAGGGGACAAAAGAGCCAAAGAGGAGAAGGCTGCTGCCACCACGCTGAGCAGGCTGGATCAAGCGGGAGGCATTCCACCCACAGGCCCAGGAATGGATCTCAAAGAGGAGCGAGGTGGCCAGGCCAAGAGTGTGGCCAGTGGTGAGTGGCAATACTGAGGACCCGCTGGCTGCCCTGGAGGGAGGAGGTGGACCGTGGGAAGTCAGAATGCCCATTCCATCGCCTGGCAGCAGCCTGGTCCCAATGTAGTGAGGGGCTGCCTCAGCAGGGTCCTGTGGCAGAGAAGTAGGTGGCACTGGCACCTGCACTTCTTGAGTTCACATTTCCCAAAAAGACCCAGTGCTTATTCTGGGGAGTCTGTTCCAGCCAGCACAGGGGAGCAGCAGCCTGAGTGTGGATGTGCTGGGGCCTACCCACTGGGACACAGCTACCACCGGGGCCAGGTCCAGGAGGGTGACCTGGCTCTTGGACAGAGGGTCCCCATCAAGCCCCTGGTGCTCCCTCTCACACTCCAGGTGCAGAGCAGACAGAGAAGGCTGATGCCCCTCGGGAACCCCAACCTGTGGAGCTCAAGCCGGACCCCACAAGTGGCATGGCTGCTGCGGAAGCCGAGGCTGCCTTGTCAGAGAGCTCGGAGCAAGGTACTGCCAGCCAGGGCCAGGCCCTCACTCCCGTGTGCTCCCAGGGCCCAGCTTCACCGCCCACAGGACCTCCCTCCCTCCTACCCCTAGCTGAGCCCACTTGAGGCCACCAACACTTCAGCTGTCTGTTCCTTGGTTGTACATCCTGGCCATGTTTCTGTGAGCACATGCATTAGAAGCTTCCTGTGAGCCCTGGGGCTACTTCCCAGCCCTCAGCTCCATGCAGGGTGTGCCTTGCTGTCACAGCACCCCCTTGGGACAAATACCCAGCTCATAGCCCCCCTGGTGCTTTCCCTAGCCAGTGGGAGGGCCGTTTACAAGTCTCTCCCAGATGTTAGTGGGGGTGGGACAGATCTGGGCCTGACCTGTGAGATGCTCTGAGCTCAGTCCCTTCAGAAGCCCCCTCCCGCCTCAGTGCCTGCCCTTCTTGCAGAAATGGAGGTGGAGCCGGCCAGGAAAGGGGAGGAGGTGCGAGAGGAGGAGGACACAGGGCCTGCTGTGGTCAAGGAAGAGGGGCCCCTGCTGGAGAATGGAGAGGCCACCGAGGAGAATGAGGAATCCGCGGGCACAGACTTTGGGCAGGAGCTCGGCACCGACGCCCAGAGCCTGCGCTCAGGCACCTATGGCGACCGCACAGAGTCCAAGGCCTACGGCTCCGTCATCCACAAGTGTGAGGTGCGGGGTCACAGGGGGTGCCGGCCCTCCCCTTCCCTGTCCCCAGCAGCCCCTCACACACCCCCTCCCCTCTGCGCCTCCAGGACTGTGGCAAGGAGTTCACGCACACAGGGAACTTCAAGCGGCACATCCGCATCCACACTGGCGAGAAGCCCTTCTCGTGCCAGGAGTGCAGCAAGGCCTTCTCCGACCCAGCCGCGTGCAAGGCCCACGAGAAGACGCATAGGTACTGGCCCGAGGCCAGCCTCCTCGCCCCTGCAGGCTCCGGCCTCTCTGGGCCCCAGCAAGCCCACCTCTCCCTGTTGCCTTCTGACCACCCAGCCCGCTGAAGCCGTACGGCTGTGAGGAGTGCGGCAAGAGCTACCGGCTCATCAGCCTGCTGAACCTGCACAAGAAGCGGCACTCGGGTGAGGCGCGCTACCGCTGCGAGGACTGCAGCAAGCTCTTCACCACCTCGGGCAACCTCAAGCGGCACCAGCTGGTGCACAGCGGTGAGAAACCCTACCAGTGCGACTACTGCGGTCGCTGCTTTTCCGACCCCACGTCCAAGATGCGCCACCTGGAGACCCACGACACTGACAAAGAGCACAAGTGCCCACACTGTGACAAGAAGTTCAACCAGGTGTGCACGAGCTCCCGGAGCAAGTGCCGGGAGCCCCAGCCCTGGTCATCCGCAGCCCCTGCATGCCGCGGGAGGGGGAGAGGCAGCCACTGTGTCAGTGGGAAATGGCTGTGTCTTGGGGTGGAGCTCTGCTGAGGCGACTGGAAGGGCAGGTTGGGATGGGAGTGGTTTTGCCTTGCACTGCTGGGACCTGGAACATTCCATCGGCCTCTGGGAATGCAGCCATCCACAGGCCCCTGGGAGGCCGAGAGTCAGTTGTCCCCCTGTGGGAGGCGATGGGGAGGGGCCTGAGGGGTGGCCTTCTGACCTCCTGCCTGGGCACAGGTGGGGAACCTGAAGGCCCACCTGAAGATCCACATCGCGGACGGGCCCCTCAAATGCCGAGAGTGTGGGAAGCAGTTCACCACCTCAGGTAGGGCCAGGGCTGCCTGGCTGTCCTCACGCCCCGCTCCTTGGCCATCTAGTGGTGCACCCCGCCAGGCCCACCCTCGGTCTCACCATAGGGAACCTCAAGCGGCACCTGCGGATCCACAGCGGGGAGAAGCCCTACGTGTGCGTCCACTGCCAACGGCAGTTCGCAGACCCCGGCGCTCTGCAGCGGCACGTCCGCATCCACACCGGTGGGCGAGCGCGTCCTGCACTGCGGGGGCAGGCGGAGGGGGTGCTGGGGAGGAGCTCAGGAGGAGCAGGGCCCAACGCCTTCGCCTCCCCGTCCCCAGGTGAGAAGCCGTGCCAGTGTGTGATTTGCGGCAAGGCCTTCACCCAGGCCAGCTCCCTCATTGCGCATGTGCGCCAGCACACCGGCGAGAAGCCCTACGTCTGCGAGCGCTGCGGCAAGAGGTCCTGCCTCCTCCCTCATGCCCAAGGGCCCTGCACGGTGAAGGGGCCACAAAACAAACTGGTTTCTTGGTGGGGAACTGGGCAGACTGCTGGCCGCCCGAGCCTCAGGCTTTGGTCCCAGAGCCCTCTCCAGTCTAGATGCGGCAGGAGGCCCCAGCCCCGTTCCCCTGGCCCAGGCATGGGCAGTTCAGTACAAGCCCCTCCCTCTGTGGTCCTGCAGGTTCGTCCAGTCCAGCCAGTTGGCCAATCATATTCGCCACCACGACAACATCCGCCCACACAAGTGCAGTGTGTGTAGCAAGGCCTTTGTGAATGTGGGGGACCTGTCCAAGCATATCATCATCCACACTGGTGAGCGTGTGCCCACCCACCTGTATGCGTCCCCTCCAGCCTCGCTCTCAGGGGGTGGGTGGGAAAGGAGGTACCCCAGATCCCAGCATGGGGTGCTGGCACTTGCAGGTGGCCTTGAGGGCAGTTCAGTTCAAATGAGGACCACATTTTCTTAGAGCTTCCAGAGGTGCAGGTGCCACTGGAGGCATCTGCAGCTGTGGTGGCCACCCCAGGGCACTTCCTGCAGGAAAAAGACAGGGATGCTGGAGAAGCTGGAGGCCACTGAGGTCCTCCCACTGCCACCCCTGGCTGCCCCTTCCCCTAAAGGTAGGAGAGAACCTTGCCTCCCCCCCAGGAGAGAAGCCTTACCTGTGTGACAAGTGTGGTCGTGGCTTCAACCGGGTGGACAACCTACGTTCCCATGTGAAAACCGTGCACCAGGGCAAGGCAGGCATCAAAATCCTGGAGCCAGAGGAGGGTGGTGAGGTCAGCGTGGTCACTGTCGATGATATGGTCACGTTGGCCACCGAGGCACTGGCAGCAACAGCCGTCACTCAGCTCACAGGTGTGGGCTGTGGGCAGTAGAAGGGAGTCATGGGCGGGCGGGTTGCCTCTAGGTTGGCAATGATGGGGCAGTACCTGTGACCAACACTTAGGCCCTGATGATTCTGCCCACAGTGGTGCCAGTGGGGGCTGCAGTGACAGCCGATGAGACGGAAGTCCTGAAAGCTGAGATCAGCAAAGCTGTGAAGCAAGTGCAGGAAGAAGGTGAGAGGGGCCACCCAGGGTGTGAACACTGGTGAACCCCAGGGTCCTTCCCACCCTGACCACAGTCCCCACCTCCACAGACCCCAACACCCACATCCTTTACGCCTGTGACTCCTGTGGGGACAAATTCCTGGATGCCAACAGCCTGGCACAGCATGTGCGGATCCACACGGCCCAGGCGCTGGTCATGTTCCAGACGGATGCAGACTTCTACCAGCAGTATGGGCCAGGCAGCACGTGGCCAGCTGGGCAGGTGCTGCAGGCTGGGGAGCTGGTCTTCCGCACTCGGGACGGGGCTGAGGGCCAGCCCACACTGGCAGAGACTCCCCCCCCAGCTCCTGAATGTCCACCGCCTGCTGAGTGAACCGGTGGCCCTTCTCCTGTTTATTTAAGGACAGATGGCACCCTAGAACTGAGAAGGGTAGTCTGTTCCCTAGAGAGAATAAATTTGATTTTTTCTAATGCTGCTTGTAGGTCCCTCTGGGGGTGGGTGGGGAGCTGGCAGCTACGACTGAAGTCCTGGAAGGGCTTTAGCACCCAGGAACCAGCCTTCCAGGCAAAACCAGGCTGTCCCTCCTGCAGAATGGGACTGCAACCTGGGACTTGTCTAGAACCAGTCTGGTGAGGCCTGGTGTGAGCAGCACATCAGGGCTGGAGAGACAGCAGCTCCATGTGCTCACCCCTTCACCCAGTTTCCTCTCTGGAGGCTTCTCACTTGTTCAACGTTAGGACTCAGTCTACCCTCTCCCCCCAACGAGCACAGCTGTGATCCTGTTCCTCCTGTGCCCGGGGGTGGGGAAGCTGGGGAAGGGGCCAGCAGAGGTTGGCCACAACTGCCTACCTGGACCAAGGCAGCTCGGAGCTTGGCCCCAAGGCCACAGTGTCTTTGCCCCGTTCAGCTCAGGCCACTTTGGCCACACTTGGCTCGGTGGTCCTCTCAGCCAGAGAAACAAGGTAGGCAGAGGAAGAGCGCCAGGTCCAGTGGGCCACCAGCCAGGTCCTACTGGGCCTGGGGAAGCAGGAGGGCACCACACTTGCATCACCAGTCACCCTGACCTGAGGACTGCAGACAAGCCAGTGCCATCTTTTAGGAACATTCACTTGCTCTGAATCAGTGCAGTCTATGGAATTAATAGCTGATGGCTTTGGTGGGGAGGCGGGAACACAACACGCAGGGGCCAGTGGTGCAGCCTTTTTACTCCTGTCAATCAGCAGGGAGCTAGAAAGTGCCATCTCTGTCCCTTTTCCACAGTTCACCCCCAGCAGCCGTGATCCCTCACTCAGAGAAGATAGCATCTTGCACCAAAAGTATGTTAGTTTTAGGAGCCCCATTGATATTGCAAGTGAGACCACCAACTTTGCAGTCCCCATGTCCGTGTCCCCACCCCAATTCCAAATCCATCTGCAGGGGAAGCCTGGCCCACCCCCTCCCACCCTCCTGTCCGGAGGCAGGTGCAGGATTAAGCAAGCCCCAAGGAGAACCATCAAGTCATGCTACACCCACTACCTCTGCAGGAGCCTGCACTGTCCCATGGAAGGGAAGGGGCAAGAAACAAGAAACCAAAACCTGCTTTAGATATTTCTGAGTTTGTGTGGAGGGTAGTTTTATTCCGTACCAAAATTTGAAGTGCCTTCCACATTACCTAAGAACCAATCAGGTTGAAGTTTCACAAATATTTACACCACAACATTGAAAAATGATTAAAGTTTAGCGTCTATGACAAAAATCTCTTGCGCAAGATAAAATGATCCCTGGGGAGGATTAGGTATCAGAAAAGAAATTGGCCCCCGTTCACACCTGGGGGAGGGGGAAGCACAAGTGGGATGAGGGCTAGCTGTACCCTTAAGCCAAGGACCCTCGGCTCTATGACAAAAATCTCTTGCGCAAGATAAAATGATCCCTGGGGAGGATTAGGTATCAGAAAGGAAATTGGCCCCCGTTCACACCTGGGGGAGGGGGAAGCACAAGTGGGATGAGGGCTAGCTGTACCCTTAAGCCAAGGACCCTCGGCCCTCCCACCCAAGTGACAATCACATTCACACGTGATGTGTTTTGTATTTTTTAATAAAGTTTGTAATCCAATGGACACACAAAACAAAACTGCGCTGAGAAAAACAGTTTCATAAATTAATAAGTGTTAGGAAGTTGCAGGAAGAGGTCAAGGTAATAGAAGAAGGGATTAGCCAGTCTTTTTGTACAGGTACTGTGTGACACTTCCACGTCGCGGGAGGGCCCGTGCTGTGACGAAGTGCACTTATACAAATGAGTGACAATACAAAGTCTGAGTATGAAAATAAGATTTTCTCTGAAAACACATTTTTGGCACAGATTAAAAAAAACGTATGTCGGGGGAATTTGATTTTAAGTCAGTATTATATATATTTATATATATATATTATATTTATATATACACACGTCCCAAGTTCTGCATATCCCACCAAGAAAGAAAATCCTTGTTTGCTTTTTGACTGTAAACTGTACATTCCGGTGAATCAGATGGTGGCAGCAGGAGAATTAAGAAAGGTGACACATCCAAATGAGCGAGGGGAAGAGGGGGGTGACCAAAAAACCCAATGAAATGTTCCTTGACCCCAAGGTTTCCACATAAGTTCGAAGTCCTGCATTAAAGTCTGCAGTATGTGTTCACATACACCAAGACATCCAGAGTGTCACAGCCTGTTTTCACTGTGCAAAAGTCCAAGTCACTAATTTAGTGCAAAGGCAGTTCTGTTTTCTTGTTTCTTAAAAACAAAAACAAACTAATTCCACGGCCCTGTTCCTTTTCCCCAAAAGAGGAGAGAGAAACCCAGCCCCAAGGTGTCTGCGAGTCCATCGGTGGTGGTCTGTCCTTGGGCTAAAGCATCATGTAAACATACAAGGTAGCAGCACCACTGCCTAGAGGAGGTCGATCTGACTGTGTCGGGCGGGCAGGAGGGAGGCTGGCCATTTGGCAGTGGAGCCTGTCCCCTTTGGCAGCTTCTTCCTCTGCCTGGCTGGGTTGTCCTGTTGTTTTTTTGCTGCAGAACCTCGGTAAAATACACCGAGGGTGTGACCACGCAGTGGCTCACACAGAGGCAATGACAATCATGAGGTGGGGAGAAATGCTGGAGATGCTGGCAAGGAGATCAGGGGCCAGACGAGACAGGTGACTCTCAGAGAATTCACAGGGTGGGAAGATCTGCAGCACATAGGCGGGCTGGAGAAGGATGAGAAAAGAAAGTAGAACCCTCTGTCTTCACCACCCCCCAAACTACATTTACCCTCCCACCCAAGTGACAATCACATTCACACGTGATGTGTTTTGTATTTTTTAATAAAGTTTGTAATCCAATGGACACACAAAACAAAACTGCGCTGAGAAAAACAGTTTCATAAATTAATAAGTGTTAGGAAGTTGCAGGAAGAGGTCAAGGTAATAGAAGAAGGGATTAGCCAGTCTTTTTGTACAGGTACTGTGTGACACTTCCACGTCGCGGGAGGGCCCGTGCTGTGACGAAGTGCACTTATACAAATGAGTGACAATACAAAGTCTGAGTATGAAAATAAGATTTTCTCTGAAAACACATTTTTGGCACAGATTAAAAAAAACGTATGTCGGGGGAATTTGATTTTAAGTCAGTATTATATATATTTATATATATATATTATATTTATATATACACACGTCCCAAGTTCTGCATATCCCACCAAGAAAGAAAATCCTTGTTTGCTTTTTGACTGTAAACTGTACATTCCGGTGAATCAGATGGTGGCAGCAGGAGAATTAAGAAAGGTGACACATCCAAATGAGCGAGGGGAAGAGGGGGGTGACCAAAAAACCCAATGAAATGTTCCTTGACCCCAAGGTTTCCACATAAGTTCGAAGTCCTGCATTAAAGTCTGCAGTATGTGTTCACATACACCAAGACATCCAGAGTGTCACAGCCTGTTTTCACTGTGCAAAAGTCCAAGTCACTAATTTAGTGCAAAGGCAGTTCTGTTTTCTTGTTTCTTAAAAACAAAAACAAACTAATTCCACGGCCCTGTTCCTTTTCCCCAAAAGAGGAGAGAGAAACCCAGCCCCAAGGTGTCTGCGAGTCCATCGGTGGTGGTCTGTCCTTGGGCTAAAGCATCATGTAAACATACAAGGTAGCAGCACCACTGCCTAGAGGAGGTCGATCTGACTGTGTCGGGCGGGCAGGAGGGAGGCTGGCCATTTGGCAGTGGAGCCTGTCCCCTTTGGCAGCTTCTTCCTCTGCCTGGCTGGGTTGTCCTGTTGTTTTTTTGCTGCAGAACCTCGGTAAAATACACCGAGGGTGTGACCACGCAGTGGCTCACACAGAGGCAATGACAATCATGAGGTGGGGAGAAATGCTGGAGATGCTGGCAAGGAGATCAGGGGCCAGACGAGACAGGTGACTCTCAGAGAATTCACAGGGTGGGAAGATCTGTAGCACATAGGCGGGCTGGAGAAGGATGAGAAAAGAAAGTAGAACCCTCTGTCTTCACCACCCCCCAAACTACATTTCCAACTGGGGGCCCTGAAGAGGTCCAACACGGAGGGCCAGGCTAGGTCAGTTTCCCAGCCAGCTAGCGTCTTGGTGACTAAGTCCGCCAGGAGAAAACAGGTGTCAGAAAACCATTAACGTGAATGAACCTCCAGGAACCCCTTGCAGAGCATGAAGCTCGAGAAAAGCTCCTGCCACCCTCAATGGTTCCCCTGAATCTGTCCAGGATGGGCAGTAGCAGCCCCTCCTGTACCCAGAACACCCTTTTTCCCACCTCCTCTGAAAACTCGTGGACTACTCTGGTTGGCACTGGTAATCCCTGCCACCAGAGGAGTCAGACCACCCACCCTAACCCAGCCCCACCTGTGCACGCACATGCAGAAGGACACCAGACCCACCTGATTGGAGCCAGGGTTGGGAACGTTGATGATCCCTGCTGCCTGCTTGGCCTGCAGGTAAGTGATGAAGGCAGCCTTGAGGGACTCGGTCTGGCTCACAACATCCTCTTGGTCACGGCCACAGGGCAGAGCCAGCAGCAGACAGTAATCTGTCTCCACCTGGGGCACAGAGGCCAGCTGTCAGTGACCAGGGCTTTCCTAGCCAAAACCAGCCCATGTCCAGCCTAGGGTATTATTCCACAAAACCCCCACTTCTGAGAAGACTTTAAAGTCTACGCTAATATTTGTTGAATTTAAAAAGCCTTGTTTCTGGGTCTAAAGGCAGTTTATACCCCCAAGTAGAAAAGAACATGCCTTTCATTGTACACTTCAAGAATACCATCACTGTGTCCCATGACACACCAGGGAGACAGGCTGGCAGGGGATCCCTACAACTTTCTTCCCCATGGGTGGGGCGGCTGCTCACCTGGGGCCCAAGGGTCTTACCGTCATCCTTCGGGCAACCCCTTCCAGCTGTGAGGCCTCCAGCCGCATCCTCTGGGCAATCCTCAGTGGGGGGCCTCCTTCAGACAGGGG